GACCGATGGGCATGACAGAAACAACTAATGCCATAGACATAAACTTCTGGCGCTGCGCGAGGATTTCTTAGATCTGCGCTGGACCCCCCTGGTGCGCGGAGCGCGCCAGGGGGAGCGCTGGAGGCGCCGCCGGGGGGCCAGCGCCGATCCAAGAAACCTGCGTGGAGCGCCACGAGTTTGCGTTTATGGTGATGTTTTTCTTCTTCGAACTAAGAGGCCTTCAACATGAGCGAGGATCACCAATGGGTCTTACGCGAAGTGACGCAGCGAAGTTACGCGGTGGCTCATCCGGGCCGCTGGCGCGGCACGCTACAATGGAAGCGAGGGCGCTCACACTTGCCGCTGGCGCGCCAACGACGGTAAATACGAAACAGCTTTCCTTCGTCGCTCACATGCGGCCCGTTGGCGGCGAGCAGAGAGGGTTATAGGGGGAGGGGGCAAGGCTTCTTGGACACCCTGCTCCTTCTTGGCAGGCCCCGGCCTTACTGTCTTTTGAGAAGGCCGGCGCCTTCTAAGAAGCAGGGGTGATTTAAAGGAGCCTTCCCCTCCCCCTACCCCTCCCCCTGCGCGTGGATGAGGTGGATGAGGAGGTGGAGCAGGAGTAGAAGGAGGAGCAGGAGGAGGAGGACGACGGAGAGGAGGAGGAGGACGACGACGACGACGAGGAGGAGGAGGAGGACGACGAGGAGGAGGAGGACGAGGAGGACGAGGAGGAGGAGGAGGATAAGCCTCCTCACCTCCTCCCCGTATACCCCCCCTGCGCGTGGCCGAGTCCGAGCGTCTGCCTGCGGCTGCCACGGCTGCGCCACCACCGGGGGCGTGCCCGTGCTCGGCGCGGCCGCGGGCGGTGCGCCGGCCACGGCGGCGGGGGCCTCACGGGGGGCGAGGGGCGGGCGCCGCCGCCTCCCCCCGGTGGGGGGCCATCTTTCGAGCAGGGGAGGAGGGGGACGAGGAGGAGGAGGAGGAGGAGGAGGAGGAGGAGGAGGAGGAGCAGAGAGAGGAGGGAGGAGAGGAGGAGGGGGGAGAGGGAGGAGAAGGAGGAGGAGGAGGAGAAGATAAGTTGTCAAGGCATGACGGCCAGTTTCGCCGAACGAGAAGGACGACGACGACGACGACGACGACGACGACGACGACGACCACGACGACAGCAACAACGACGAGCTGATTACCCTGCCACAGGCTTGGCACATGGGGCGGGCGGTGGAGTGAGGAGGAGGAGGAGGAGGAGGAGGAGGAGGAGGAGGAGGAGGAGGAGGAGGAGCAGGAGGAGCAGGAGCAGGAGCAGGAGGAGCAGGAGGAGCAGGAGGAGGAGGAGGAGGAGGAGGAGCAGGAGGAGGAGGAGGAGGAGGAGAAGGAGGAGGAGGAGGAGGAGGACAAGGAGGAGGAGACGCGTCCTCCCCTCCTCCTCCATCCTCGATGGCCTTCTCTTTCCTCGCCCCTCGTCCCTCGCGCCTGCTCCCTCGTCGTCCTCCATTGTCTTCCCTCGTCCTTCCTCGCCCTCTGAGAAGCCCCTTCTCCTTCACAATTCTCCCCGGGTCTCGTCGCTTGCTTCCGAGTAGGAGATCGACTACAGAGTTGATGCGCGCTGAAATTAACTTTCCGCCGAATCTACAACATGCATCAGATGCTTCGTAGATCCACGAACACTCAGCGTGTTGCGTCGCACATTTGACGGAAACCCAATTCTAGGGTAAAACATTATGTAGCCCATCTCCTGCCCCTTTCTTTGAATGGGAGGACATCAATGATGACCATGACAAAGACTGGACACGGAAGCGCCGATGTCGACATCAAGTTTGTCCAGCCCGCGGATCCACCTCGCGAGTCGGCCAGATCCGCCGCGGGGACTTCTACGATCCATTATATCGAGGCGAGAAGTGTTCTTCGGACGTTTGCGAGGCGGCGCTCTGCAAGTATACTGGAACGCCCTCGGTGAGTGTCGGTTATGCGGGTCCCACAAGTATTCAGCACCATCACCTCCGTTCATCCTCCCTCCTCGAGCCTCCTCTTCCTCTCCTGTTTCCTGGGAGCAGGGGGGGGGGAGAGAGGTGGCGCTGTATACGCATACATGGACCCCGTAGGTTCAGCGATGCCGATGGACAGCACCCGGTGTGGGGGGGGCTCCCGGCGCACCAGCGCCGGTGCCGCGGCCCAGGCCGCCGCTGGCCCCCCCCCCCCCCCGGCGTGGCGCGGCGCGCGCACCCTCCGCCGGGGGCTGAGGCACCGAGGGCCTTCCGTGCGCCATGCCTGGGCGCACAGGGAGGGCCCTGGCCGGCGGCGCGGCGGCGGCGCGCAGGCCAGCGCGCTCCGGGAGCGCGGACCCAGGCGGGCGAGGAGGGAGAGCGCCCTGGGTGCGCAGGAGCGTCCAGGATGTGACGTGGGATCGGGGAGTGTGCTGACACGGCACATAAGTGACCGAAGGAGTCCAGCGATGTGCATTCACGAATTATTACGGTCGCAGCACACGGCGGACAGGGGCACGCCGCGGAGAACACCGACGGCCCCCGCGCGCCGCACGCACAGGCAGCGCGGAGCGAGGGGCCCCGAGGGGCGGGGGCTCTCTGCAGGGCACGGCGAGCCTCGGCCACGTGCAGGTCCGCCCGAGGAAGCCTTCTGGGCCCCTCCGGGACCCAAGGCGTGCCCCGCGTCGGCGTCTCGACTGCGCGGGGCCCCTCCCCAATAGGAGGGTGCTCCGCAGACTCGGGTCGGGCGAAAGGGGGGGACAGCAAAGGGGGGGGGTGAGAATCAGCGCACGTAGCTGGTTTTCCTGGCGCCTTCCGGCGCCGGCAGGCGCCCATGTATCGAGGAATGGGCCCGGCGGCGGGGCCGAAACCAGCTGCATGCAGCAGATTTCGTACCCCCCCTTTCCCTATCCCCCCCCCCTTCGTCCGGCCCGACCCTAGGAGGGTGCTCCGCAGACCCAGGGTCGGATCGGGACGCGGGAACGTGGCGTGCTTCTTCCTCCCACTGTCCCTCAGCATTCCATTGTTCGAGACTGGCGCAGCGACGTTCACTCTCCTGCCGCCTCCCCGCGCGCTGCCGAAGCGCGCCCCTGCTGCCAGGCTCGCCCACCCTTCTTGCCGGCCATGCGCGTCAAACTTCTGGGGTGCCTTCTGATCAGGACCCGGATGTGGCGGGCGCGGGCACGGCGCCCGGGTCAGATTCCCCCCCATCCAGAGGCAAACCTGGTATAGGAAGGAACAGCTCCCCAGAGAGGGCATTCACTCTGTACACCAAGCCCATCCCTGTGAGGGCGTGCGCCACCCTCACGCGCGTCCGTACTCGATGACCGCCTTTGCCCCGTGGATTCGGCTTAAGTATCGTACGTCACATGTTTTAAGAGGCACTTTGAGCGGGCGGGGAGGACGAGAGCGCTAGGGGGGAACGGAACAAGGAGAAGAAAGAGAGGATGAGGAGAGCGGAAGGGCGAGCGGAAGAGAAGGGGTGACGTCGGACTGTGGATGACCAGGAGGACGAGGAGCACGGAGAGATGGGAACGAAGGGAGGACTAGGGGAAAGTAATGATGATGATGAGGAGAGAGGAGGGAAACAGTACGACGACCGAGAAGCAGAAAGGGGCTGAGGCTGAAGAGGAAGACGGCGGGAGGAGGAGAGTACGGGTCACGTCACAAAATTGATGTGCAAAGGTGGTGACGACGAAACGGCAGCGGCCGACGACGAAGACGAGGAAGAGGAACGTGACGGTGGCGCTGCGGCGCATCTGCTCTGACGCGCCCCACGGCAACGGCGGAGCCGCGGCGGAGGACACAACGCCGGTGGAGTACGACGACGACGACGACGACGACGACGACGACGACGACGACGAGAAGGACGACGACGACGACGACGACGACGACGACGACGACGGCGACGACGACGACGACGACGACGGCGGCGGCGGCGGCGGCGGCGGCGGCGGTTGCGGCGGCGGCGGCGACGGCTAGACGACCAACGACGAGTTCGGCTGCACGCAAGAGGGACCCTGGGCCAGAGTGCTGGTGCGCGGCTTTAGGAGGCCGCGGGGGGGGGTTATCTAAGTGCGCCGCCCAATGCTGGGGGGGGCCTGTGGGCCCGCACCTACATATTCCAGCGAAGGGCTCCTGGAGTGCTCGAAGTCCCGAACCCCAAAACCGGGGACACACGGGACCCCGCAACGGCCTCGGCGAGGCGCAGCTGCTGGACATGCACCCCGAGCCAGGCACAACCTACAGGGCACCTGCGGAACACGTCGGCTTGTGTTCACAGCGCTGCAGGTCTAGAAAACCTCCATTGGAAGATCGGCATCAAGTCCTTATGCTATTTTTTCGGGGGCGCGCAAACACGGATTAGCGATCCATGGATTTGGCGCGTGGTCGCCAATCCATGGATCGGGGGGGGGTAACTTCCCCAAAATGCGGCACGTGCCGCCTCGCTCGGCGGCGGAACTCCGCGACGTCCCATGGAAACGGGGCCCGTCGCTAGTCCACGCCCCCTCAATCCATGCTTGCGATCGCCTGGTTTCTTGCCCTCCTGGGAGGTCAGGGCTGCCCCTGCGATCCACCGCCGACGGGCGCGCGGAGCCCTCCAACTGGCGGCGTGCACGCGCGGCAGGCGGCGGCCGGCGGCGGCGGCCGGCGGCGGCGGCCGGCGAGCCTGCCCCGGCGCAGCCCAGGGGCACGGCGGCGTCGCGGCGGAGGCCGGGGCAGCCTGGCCTCCTCTTCCTCCTCCACCTCCACCTCCTCCCACTCCTCCTCCTCCTCCTCCTCCTCCTCCTCCTCCTCCTCCTCCTCCTCCTCCTCCTCCTCCTCCTCCTCCTCCTCCTCCTCCCTCCGCCTCCTCCCCGCTGCTCCTCCTCCCCCTGCTCCCTCCTCCTCCTCATCCTCCCTCCCCCTCCCCTCCCCCTCTCCCCCTCCTCCTCCTCCTCCTCCTCCTCCTCCTCCTCCTCCTCCTCCCTCCCTCCCTCATCCTCCTCCTCCTCCTCCTCCTCCTCCTTCCTCTCTCTCCTCCTCCTCCCTCCTCCTCCCTCTTCCTCCTCTCTCCTCCCTCCTCCCTCCTCGCTCCTCCCCCTCCCGCCTCCCCTCCTCCTCCTTCCTCCTCCTCCTCCTCCCTCCTCCCTCCTCCCTCCTCCTCCTCCCTCCTCCTCCTCCCCCCACCTCCCGCCACCCTCCTCCTCCTCCTCCCTCCTCCCGCCTCCCTCCTCCTCGCCACCCTCCTCCTCCTCCTTCCTCCTCCCGCCTCCCTCCTCCTCGTCCCTCACCTTCCACAGTGGAAAGAAGTAGCACTCCAGACCTGACGACCTAGCTGGACTGCTCAAAACCTCGACTGGAGTTTGGGCTTCTGGGTACGGGTGCTGTTTGTGAGCCCTCCTCGAAGGTCGGGGCAGGAGGGGGCGCCGCGAGGGGCAAGGGTTCGACTAGGGACACATCAGCGCCGATGGGGGATGCGACCTCCCAGGACCCGCATCCGACCTCCGACGGGCGCGCAGAGCCCAACAAAGGCGGTGTCGGGCGGGCGCCGGGCGGCAGGTCGGGTGAGCCCCGGCGGGGAAGGCGGGGTGCAGTCAATGGGGAAGAGACTCGGCTCCGCACAAGAGCCAGCCCCCCTTTTGGTAAGAGCGACCATCGTGGTGCGCGGCTTGCGGGGCGCGGGGAGAGCGTCCAACAGGCCCAGCACATCTCGAGCCCCAGAGCCCACGCCCGCCCCGATCCTGCCAGGCGAGCCCAGCGTCGAATCGAGGAGTCGGGTCGGCGATCGGAGTGCATCGGATCGGCACAGACCGGCAGCCGCGTCGGGAGAGGTCGAATCGGCAGAGATCGGCAAGCTATAGTAGGCCTCGAGCAGGGGATCGGAGTCAGTACTCGGAACCCGGAGCCGAGTCGAACCGGAATCGGAAGCCATCGACACCGAATCAGACCACATCGGAGGAGTCGGCATGAGCCCCGATGCTGTCTCCGAGGTCAGCCTCCGATGGGCACGCGTGGCCCCTCGGAGGCGGCGTGGGCGCGGCCTCCGAGGGGCTCCGGCGGCGGCTGGCGGGCGCCGACGGGGAGGGGGATGGGGCAGCCAACTTTGAAGGGGCCCTGGGACACACAACAAAATACACACAAATAAACAGATCCCGCATATTTGCCCATACTTTCTGGGTTTTTGGTTTCCCCCCCCCACCACTTCCCACAGTTTCCCATATCTTCTGGGGAATCGGCGATTCGTTGTGTCTGTGTGTTGTTTTTCCCTCCTGAAACTCGGCGGCGCCAGGGAGGATGCGCCGCGAGGGGGGGGGCGGCCCTCCAGGAAGGCGGCGCGGCCTCAGAGGAGGCGGAGGGGCAGCTTCGAGGCCGATGATGGCATGCCCTTGTGCCTCACACCAGTGTCTGGCGCAAGCGCCGCTCCAGCACACCGTGAGAAGGAAGCTGCGGTGTTGGCATTGGTAGGTTTGGCGGAGGCGCTGGGGCGATAACCTAAGGAGGAGGAGGAGGAGGAAGGATGAGGAGGAAGAAGGACGAGGAGGAGGAGGGAGGAGGAGGGAGGCGGAGGAAGAGAAGGGGGATTAGCGGCTAGCACCCGGGAACGAAAACGAACCATTTGCAACGTCTGTGCAAACACGTGCGAGCAACATAATCCCACCAGCCCTCTGGGCGTTGGTGGTCCAGAGTGGTTCTTCTTCCAACCCCCTTCTTCCCCTTCGGGGAGGGGTTTACCCCTCGCCCCACCCCCTCCCCTGGACCTGGACGGGGCCGGTCGCGAGGTGTCAGGGCATCAAAAACGGCATCGGCGAGGAAGCCCAAAACACTACTTTTACTACGGTATTTCGTCCCATGTTGGCCTCTTGGGGGGGCAACCGTCATTGAGGACCCCCCCTGCTTTGATCGATGTCCTTCATGATGGACCCAAGAAGCGCCCAGGAGGCTGAAAGAGGCCCCAAGATGGCCCCAAGATGGCCCCCAAGAGGACCCCAGGATGCCCCCAAGAGGACCCCAAGCGGCCCCAAGAGGCTCCCCCGAGGCACCCAAGACGCCCAAGAGCCTCCCAGGACCGCCAAGAGACCCCCAAGACGTCCTAGAGGCCACCAAGAAGCACCCAAGAGATATCCCAAGAGGCTTCGCGAGCTGTTCCCCTTTCCTCCTACACATATATAAATACATATATACATATATATATACACATATATTTGTATGTTAATGTATATATATATATATATATATATATATGTGTGTGTGTACTCCTTCTCCCCATTCCCTCATCCATCCACCCGGCCTCCTCCTTCTCCTCCATCTCCGTCCATCGCACGGTTCGGCCGTCCCCCTCTTTGATCCCGCGTCTAGAATTTAGCCCCGCACTTGTTAATATGTGGGGGCGTCAATCACAAGTTCCCCACGGCAGAAAACAGGGCTGGCGCGAGGGGAACGACCTTCCAAGAAGGAGACAAGGCTTCCTCAAGGCAGGGGGGGGGGCTTCACCGAAGCCCACGGGGCTTCTGAGAAGCCTGCTTTTCAGCCGCCGGAACCTTCCAACAAGGCCTCTGTCTTCTAAGAAGCAATACGCACAAACACACACACACACATACACACACTACTTTCTCTCTCTCTCTCTCTCTTTCTCTCTCTCTCTCTCTCCCTCTCCCTCTCTCTCTTAGACACACACACACACGCTCACACAAAACAAACACACACACACACACACGCAAACGTATGACACAAGCAAAAGTGTGTGTGTGTGTTGTGTGTTTTGTCGTGTAGATGTGTGTATGTATGTATGTGTGTGTATGTGTGTGTGTGTGTGCGCGTGCGTTCCGCATGTGTGTATGTTTGTTATGTGTGTGCATGTGTATGTGTGTTTGCTTGTTTGAGCCTTCCAACGAAGCCCATGCCTTCTAGGAGGCTCCTCGCGTCTTCTTGGTAAGCCGCTCCCCCGCGCCACGAGCCCAACTGGGCGCCGCCGACCGAAGGGCCCAGATCTCAGACGATGTGACTTTTCCAATCCCTGCGCTTCTCCTCGACCCCTGGGGACCGTGCTCTCAGGCACCAGGACAGTCAACAACGGATCCAGGATGGAAGGCTACACCCCCGGGAAAGCGGCAAGGACCTCTCGAGCAATCCGATCGCCGGAGACGAGCCGCACAGATGCACACCGAAACGCGCAGGCCTGTGCCCAGGGCACTGTGCACGCGTCCTGCTCCACGTCCCGCGCTCCCGGACCTGCCCCGAAGAGCGTCCACGACACTGTGCGCGCGAGGCTGGCGCTGCGGCAGCAGTGTCATGGACTTGCTCCTGTCCCTGGTCGGATGCCTCGGGGGGCGGAGGGTCCCCCTCGCAGGCGCGCGCTGACGGGGCGGCCTCGGCGCCTGGGACTGCGGCAGCCGAGCCCTCCGGCCCGGACCGCGAGGCGCGACCCGCTTCGCCCCCCCGTGGGGCCACCCTGGGCCCCCCCAGCCCCCACCAGAGCCACGCAGACGGAGCCCACAGACGTCCAGAGGCCTCCCGAGAGGGGCAAACGACGGCAGGAGCAGGAACTCTCGGCGTTCCGTGTGGACTTCCTGGGTCGGCGCTGGATCCCCCTCCCGGCGCGCGGAGCGCGCCAGGGGCGGCGACGGAGGCGCCGCCGGGGGGCCCAGCGCCGATGCACGAAATCTGCGCGGAACTCCGAGGGGGTTATGTGTATGACGCCGTCTCTTCTTCGACCTCTCCGTCCTCTGATGGGTCAGTTTTCCACCAGCATCACCATAGGTGGGCCGGGAGAGAAGGGAGGATGGGGAGGTCCTCCTCCTACTCCTCCTCCTCCAACTGCTCCAGCTCCTCCTGCTCCTCCTGCTCCTCCTGCTCCTCCAGCTCCTCCTCCCTCCCCTAGCTATGGCAATGGTTGTGGGAAATCGTCCGATCGTCCCATCATGCTAGATGCTACCTCCTTCCGCGGTTCTTGATGCTCAAAGGCAGCCGGCGTCCAACCCGTGGTGGCCCCCCTCGGTACTGCCCGCCCCCCGCTTGCGCCCGCCTGAGCTGGTGGGCACCACGCGATCCGCCCCTCCGGGGAGACCGCGTCCTGGGGCGCGGTTCTCTGCGTGTGTGTCTCTCTCTCTCTCTCTCTCTCTATCTGACTCTCTCTCTCTCTCTCTGTTTCTTTTTTTTGTTCTCTCTCTCTCTCTCTCTTTCTCGCTCTCTCTCTATTTCTCTCTCTCTCTCTCTCTTCCTCTCTCTGTTTCCTTATGTACGTACACCCCACACTTTCAGATAAGAGTGACGGGGCAGGGGCGGGTGGGTCTCGGGTGGGACCCACGCGGGTCGCGGGTGGGACGCGGGTGGGTCGCGGGTGGGTCGCGGGTGGATCGCGGGTGGGTCGCGAGAGGTTGGCGGGCTGGGTCGCGAAGGGGACGACGACAACACACAACAACGCAACAACAATCCACACCGCGGAACCCCACCGCAGACACGCACCCAGGGACAATAAATGACCGTTCGCCCTCCTCACTCTGAACATCTATATCGATATGTATATATATATATACATATATATATATGTACACATATATGTGTATGTCTATATACATACATATATGTACACATGTGTGCATGGACACAGATGTACAAGCATTAGTCCCACCAGCCCTTTGGGCGTGAGTGGTTTAGGGAGTTTTCTCTGTTCTCAACCCCCCAACCCCCCTTCTTCCCCTTCGGGGACGGGTTTACACCTCCCCCTACCCCCTCCCCCTGGACCTGGAGAGGGCGCCCCGCGGGTGGTCAGGGGGGTCCGTTTCGACGCCTGGGAGGGCCAAAAAACGACGACCCTCACGAGGATTCTGGCCCCGACGGGGGGATAGAGAAAAAACCCTCTCCTCTTCTGTGAAGCCAAAATCATTGATTTTACTACGGTTTTGGCCCCATTTTGGCCTCCTCAGGGGGCAGCGCTCCTCGTCCTTGTTCTCAGAATCATTGATTTTACGAAGGTTTTGGGCTCATTTTGTCTTTCTCAGGGGGTAGCGCTCCTTTGCGCTTCTGAGGAGGGCGCAAGAGGCCCCCAAGAGGCCCCAAGATGTCCCCAGGAGGCTCCCAAGAGGCCTCCAAGAGGCCCCCAAGAGGCCCCCAAGAGGCCCCCAGAGGCCCCCAACAGGCTCCCAAGAGGCCCCCACGAGGCCCCCAGAGCCCCCAAGAGGCTCCCAAGAGGCCGCCAAGAGCTCCCCAAGAGGCCCCGAAGAGGCCCCAAGAGGCCCCCAAGAGGCCCCCAAGAGGCCCCACGAGGAGCCCGAACGACTCACACCAGGACGAGGGGCCCGAACGACTCACACCACGAAGAGCCCGAACGACTCACACCACAAGGAGGGGCCCGAACGACTCACACCAGGACGAGGCGCCCGAACGACTCACACCACGAGGAGCCCGAACGACTCACACCACGACGCGGGCCCCGAACGACTCACACCACGAGGAGCCCGAACGAGTCACACCAGGAGGAGGGGCCCGAACGACTCACACCAGGATGAGGGGCCCGAACAACTCACACCACGAGAAGCCCGAACGACTCACACCAGGACGAAGAGCCCGAACGACTCACACCACGAAGAGCCCGAACGACTCACACCAGGAAGAAGGGCCCGAACGACTCACACCAGGACGAGAAACCCCAAACGACTCAAATCACGAGGAGCGCTTTCTCTCCCTCCTCCTCCGCCTCGTCCTTCTCCCGCTCCCCCCACAAGGAGGATTCACAAGGAGGCGGGAGGAAGGAGGGACAGGGGAGATATACGGAGCCCAGCGGACACACGCCTGAACAACACAACTGTCGACATGCTTCGCGAGAGCTGCTGCTGTGAGACGGGCTGGTGGGGATACGCGAAACGTAAAGAATTATCTCTTTGATGTGTTGCGCGTGTTGTGGAGGTACGGCGGGTTCTTGTCGTGGCTACCCTCGCGCTAGTTTCTGACATTGCAAGGGTAACTCGGTTTTGACCGATCGCGCTGGGGTCACCGTTGCATCGGAACGACGGGCACCTACAAGACTCCCACCCCCCTTTGCAGGCACGGCGCTGGACCCTCGCTGCGCCTTCAGCGCGGTCCTCCCTCGGTCTTCGCTCTGCACTAGGGTCGGGGAAGCCTCTGGCGCCCGAAGCGCGTGTGACCCCTGGACAAAAAAAACGAATTATGTGCGTATTTCGCCACCGTCTTCTGGCACAGCCTGCCTCTCCTGCCCTGTGGTTGCAGACGCGCGGTTTCGAGAATATTCTGGTCAGCGACGCCGCTTCACAACAATACAAGGGTTCCCAACCAGTTTTGGGGGGACCGAAGTTCGTATGGCCAGACACTTATTGGGGGTCTTCCCTACACATGTAGCAAAACAGACCGCCCAGAAATTGTATCCCGAATGCGAAAGAGGGAAACCAAAAGCAGGCCACGCCTTCATCGTGCTATTCAAGTTACAAGGGCCCTTTTTGTTCGCAGTGAAACTGCATTGCGTTGAAGGTGGCCGCCCCCTCGTGCGCGCACGCACACACACACCACTGCTGTCCTCCAGCTGCCGGGGCGACAGCACCACAGCTAGCACAAAGGAGAAGGGCGCTGAGCTCGATCACCAGGTGACGTTGCATCAAATGTGTGGATCAAAGCTGACGCAGGCAAGAAAGGCGCGAGACAACGCGAGCAGCGCCAAAGTCCGCTCGGATGCCCTAGAATAGTGGGACGCACGCGAGAAACCGCCAACATTGATGAGAGCGGATCGGACATTCAGAGCCCGCTCGAGTGGCCTGATAATATGTAGGGCCCTGCAGAACGATACCTCTGGCGCAACACGGGACCCCCATTGAGGGACTCCGTGAGGCCCGTTTACGCACTCCCGCCACCTGAATGTGCCACAGGCGGGCGTCGAAAACCACGGCCCCAGCACAACCCCAAGTAGGTTTCGCGGCGCGGACCAACCCAGACGCACGAATGACGAAGCAACCCAGCAAAGCGCCCCCCACCCAACGAGCCAGCTGCTTGCGGGGCGCAGCTTACGTGTGGCCTCAGAGACGGCCCGCACCTGTCCCATGCCGAGCAAAACCTCGTTTAGGGGCGTTGGTTTTGTTTCTCTATAAAACAAAAACCTCCAATAGATTGGGGTGGGGAAGTGGGCGTGGAAGGCGAAGAAAACATCATCCCTGGAGGGGCCGTGGAAAAATAAGTCTGTAGCGCGCGCAGTGTCATTAAGAGATCGGATGGCGGGCAGCCTTGTGTGACCCACTTGTCCTCCTCCTCCCCTCCTCTCCCCTCCTCCATCCACTCCTTCCTCTTCTTCATTTTCCTCCTCCTCATCCTCCTGTTCCCTGTGCTTCGGATTGTCCTGCAAGCCTCAGCACGCGAAGAGCTTGGCTGCCTCCCTCTCTATCCCACCGCGGAGGGGATCGTGGAACAAGCGCTACTGGATGCTACACCATGCCTGTTGCCATTATCGCCTCTGGCTGACCGCAGCCATCAAGGTAAGTCTGCGTCCGTTGATAATGCGCGCTTGCTGTTGCACCCCGAGCATCATCTAGAATTTGTAGCTGTCGTTCTGTGTCGTCGAACCAGCACGCTCTGATCCCGAACAACCTGCAATGGACTCCGAGTGTACGCGGCGCGTCTGGGGCCAAGACTCACCGGCTGCCAGGAATCCGAGAAGGTGGTCGGCGTGCGTTTGCCTTCCAGTTTGCATTGCAAGCCTCCACGCACTTGCGGCCCATCTTGTGCAGCGGCACGTGGAACGGAACGGCGACGGCCACCATGATGCACGCGCGGCATGCGCCAGCCACCACTGCCAATTCGCGCGAGCTGGCGAGAGCGAGTTCGGTTAGCACCATCTGGGGCGCCGCCAGCGCCCCACCCTCGCCCCTCCCCTGAGAGGCTCCAAGAGCTTGCCAACTCCCCTGCCCGCGTCGCCTGCCTTGCGCTTGCCGCCCTTGACGGCCCAAGTGGGCTCCTCCAACGTGCTGCGGGTCCTCGAACTGCGTTCGCGCATGGATCTGACGTTCTGCATCGCTGGAACGCTGGGCCTCGCGCGGCCAGCAGGAGAACGGGTCCCCGAGAGACTCCCTGTTCAACGAAGTGCTGAGCTGGGGCCTGCAGAGCGCCGGCGCGAGAGAGTCGAGCGAGCGATTGCGCGCCGAAGTGCGACTCTGGAAACGACGACAAAATTGCTCACTGCGTGGGGCTCCCCATATGTGCATCTACTCGCATGGACCTGTCCGCCGTGAGTGTCTAGGCACAAGAGCTTTCGAATATTAACGGGCTTCAGTTGTGACGATCTGGACATCAATATAACTGCGAATGAATTGGAGTGTGAATGAGCCTCAGTAGTACGAGCGCGTCTCTGTGCATGAGCCTGGGGCCTCCTGGGGCCTCCTGAAACCTACTGGGGCTCCTGGGGTCTCCAGGAGCCTCTTGGGACCTCCTGGGACCTCCTAGGAAGGTTTCGTGCCCCAGGAGAGGCGCAATCTATAGCAACAGACGTACATAAAACATTGCGGATTAGAGCCACAGGAGAAGGGCAATCTATAGGAACACGCGTAAAACACCAAGGACTCGTGCCCCAGGAGAGGCCCAATATATAGGAACATGAGTAAAACATTTAGGATTGTGTACACAGGAGAAGGACCATCTATAGAAACATACGTAGAACATCAAAGAATCGTGCTCCAGGTGAGGCCCAATCGATAGGAGCATACGTAAAACACATGGGATTGGAGCCACTCCTGTTGCCTTCTGAGGCCTCCTGCTCCTGGGGCCTCTCGGGGCCTCCTGTTGCCTTCCGAAGCCTCCTGGCGTTTCCTGTTGCCTCCTGGGGCCTCCTGTGGTTTGCTGAGGCCTTCTGGAGCTTCCTGGGGCCTCCTGGAGCCTCTTGGGACATCCTGTGGCCTCTTGAATCTTTCTGTGGCCTCCTGATGCCTCCTGGGACCTCATGTGGTCTCCTGGGGCCTCCTGGAGCCTGTTGGAGAGCCTCCTGTGGTATCCTGAGAAGAATCTGCGCCCACGAGCCTGGCCACCAAAACAAGCAAACCGATCGAGACATCCTCAAAATCTGGCCCACCTGGGGGGTGA